GTCCTTAGAATGTCATCATGGTGACTCGAACTCCTGGCTTAGGACGTTGTTAAAAATATCCCATGATAAAGATAACATAATGAAACCCTATCCGCCATTTACATGTCAGTGAGAACTTGACCCAGGTTTAACTGAGAACAGGCTATTCAACAGAAGGGATTCCTAGCTGAATGGACTGGATCCATGTTCTCAATTTGTTCCGTCTCTGAGGCAGGTCTAAGGAGTAGGAACCTGCAGGGTTCTTCGGCAGATGTACTAGAGAAAAGGCCCTAGCACACAGCGGCGAGGAGTAATGTGTTGTGAGGGAAGGAAGTCAGATACTTTGCGGGAGAAGTGGTGTTTGGGTTGGACCGTGGAGGGACGGCAAGACATGGGGTTGGGCATCCCGTGTCAGGATGCAGAGGCAGGAGTGGTCGTGGTGTCATCCTTCGATGCTTGGGAGGATGCTTTGTGTGGGGAGCGGGAGCATGGGGTCCGTTTGCTTCATGGTTAAGGGCACGAGCTCTAGATTCTGGGGAGGAGTTCTGGCTCCACCACTTGCTAAACATGTGACTTTGCTTTAAGCCGGTTCCCTAACTTTCAGTGCCTCGATTTCTTCCTCTGTAAAATGGGTAGGAACACTATCAACCCCATCAGGTTATGGTGACACTTAGTTAATCCCTGTAAACCTCTCAGAGCAATGCCTGGTGCCTTGTAAGTGCCAACTAAATGGAAACTATTTATAATGGTGATTTCTCAGCACCTGGAAGACCCCGCCGGGGTGGGTAGGGGGAGTGACTGGTGGAGGTGCTATGGAAAGGTTTAGAAAAAAGGAGGCCGAAAACCCCCTGAATTAAAGTACATCTGTTTTCAAGGGAACCAGTAGCAGACCAAGGGTAAAGGTAAATGGTAAAGTTTTGGGAACACACACACTTTGAAGAGTGTGGTGAACATTCCGTTTCCTCAGGGCTGATGGGCTCCAAAGTGAGAGCGAGTTAGGTGAGTGGGCGAACACCGGCTTCTGAGGAGGCGGCATGCCGGCGGCTAGCTGCAGCAGCGATCCCAGGTGAGCCCACGTCCCAGGGCCGGGCCGCTGGGGTTTGTCCTCCTCTCGGCCCCCTGGAGCCTGCAGCCTGCCCTGCCGCTGACTTCCCAGCAGGCGCTGTGGGTCCGGGGACTGAGGGAGAGAAAATAGGTCAGCGCAGATCTACTCCCCCACCCGGGAAACCATGGTAGGCTGGTGTCTCACTAGCGCTAGTCTCACACGGGAAGGGCAGCATATTTCTTAGAGTTTCAGAGGAGACGTGTAACTCGGTGTTGAGAAAGAGGCCAGGTCGGGAAGAAAGGTGCCCGAACTGGGTGAACGGGGTGAGCTCACAGCTGTGTGCTGCAAAGGGCCCTGGAACGGGGATCCTCTTGTTGAGCACGAGTTGTTGCTTACTCTTGACGGACAATGGGAGATGTGAAGAGCCGCCATGGCGTAGGTCCTGCATGGGGTGCAGGGCCCCGGGGAAGAAGACAGACTCTTATACATGAGTCCCCGGACTTTGTGTAGGGTGTGGCTCCTTCTCCCGAGCGGAATTCTAGAGAACTTGCTAGGAACGTGTGCTCACTCCCCAGGCGAGCCTTCCTCAGGCCCACTCGACACCCACCATGACTGGCATCGGACTTGGCGTCGTATTAGTGAGTTAACGGACGGACACGATCCCAGTCAGGATCAGGTTCGGTGGCAGGTAAGGTCGGGGTGAAGCTAGGACTTAGCCGGGACTCACCAGGATGAGAAAGTGGCTCAACAGAGGCGGTGGGGGGTGTCTTACTGCTGGGCCTCTTCGGTGTCCCACGTTGGGGGCCACACTCCAGCCATCACTTCCACAAGACAGGAGAGAGAGCAGGGAAACCCACGAAGGGCACATGCTTCTTGCCTTTGGAAGAGGTATCTGGTAACCTCCACGTCAATCTCAGTGGCTACAACTTAGTCCGACGCCTGACTGGTTTCAGAGAGGCTGGGAAACGTGGTTTGCATTCTGGCAACTCTGTGCCCGGCTGAAAAGCGGGTTTGTACTAAGGCAGAAAGGGGAGAGTGGATGTGGCGGGGCAACTAACAGACTCTGCCCCGCAGAGATCATTAAAAGCATCAGATAAAGAAAAAATCCATTCACTACAAATATGATTTATATTTGGATGAGGAACACGTCCTTTGGATAAGGATTTATATTTGGATAAGGAACAAATGTGCACGTAGTTCAACTGCCAGGAAAGGTAGTGTGGAAATTATATTTTAATTGTTCCAGGAAATGACCCCCCATTTAATCCTTTTGTAAAGGGAGGAATAGGGCGCCTGGGTGGCTCAGTCGTTAAGCATCTGCCTTTGGCTCAGGTCATGGTCCCAGGGTCCTGGGATCGAGCCCCGCATTGGGCTCCCTGCTCGGCGGGAAGCCTGCTTCTCCCTCTCCCACTCCCCCTGCTTGTGTTCCCTCTCTCCCTGTCTCACTCTCTGTCAAATAAATAAATAAAATCTTAAAAAAAAAAGGATATTCTCTCTCTCTCTGCCCCTCTTACCCTTGCTCTAGGGCGCCTGGGTGGCTCAGTTGGTTAAGCGACTGCCTTCGGCTCAGGTCATGATCCTGGAGTCCCGGGATCGAGTCCCGCATCGGGCTCCCTGCTCGGCAGGGAGTCTGCTTCTCCCTCTGACCCTCTTCCCTCTCGTGCTCTCTATCTCTCATTCTCTCTCTCAAATAAATGAATAAAATCTTAAAAAAAAAAAGGGAGGAATGCAGAGGGATGCTTGAAGCTTGTCCTCCGGCAAGTGAATTTTTTTTGATTGCTGAATTTTCTAAAAGTGGGGCACATGGAGGAGGGGAGAAGTAGATTTGCCTTCCTACCCACATTTGCCTTAGAGTGATGCTAACTTATGGGGAGTCTACGTGAAGGAGGAAGTCCCATATTTGCTGTTTGAAAAGATGACACACCTCAGGCAAGGAAACAAAACAGACTCTTTGTCAGGCTTTTTGAAAAAATGAACTAGAGGGCCACCTGGGTGGCTCAGTCGTTAAACGTCTGCCTTCGGCTCAGGTCATGATCCCAGGGGTCCTGGGATCGAGTCCCACATCGGGCTCCCTGCTCGGCGGGGAGCCTGGTTCTCCCTCTGTGCTGTCTCTCTCCCTCTCTCTCTGTCAAATAAATGAAATCTTAAAAAAAAAAAATTAAAAAAAAAGAAAAAAATGGATTAGATACAAAAATGGACTCTGAACCGGACTTGTCTGCAAGAGCCCTAGTTCTCTCCACGTTAGCGGGCTGAGGGCTAGGGCAGAGATATAAATTTAAGTTTGAACCCTCAGGCGGAAGTGTGCTCCCATTAGCTGCCCACTCAAGAATGGTCCTCACAGTGGTCCCCGGGGTCCACTCTACCAGTGGCTCTGTTGATAGGGAATGGCCGATCTCTAGGGCACGTATGGCTGGAGGACACCATCGCTCCGAAGGTCAGAAGCCTTGAGCTCTTTGGTACAGTGAGCAGGGGTCTACGTGCAACCAAGTCCCAGGACGTCTATCCTCTGTCGGCCATATTTGTCAGCATCATCTATGCACCCCGGGCACCATGAGCAGAGACACGAACGAGAGGCACGATTCCTGACCAGTAAAGCAGGGCACATGGTCACGCTGGGAAATCAGCCTCGTGCAACACAGAGATGGGTTAAGTTTGCAAGTTCCTTAGTAATGCCAAGTAGCAAGTCAGGGAAGGTTTCTTGACCACTTTGAATAATCAGGTTCAAAGGGGATGTTCAGAGGCTGTTGAGGGAAAGGGAGGGAGGGGTGATGAAGAAGGGAGGGAAGAGGAGATGGAGGTGGGCAGAGACAGAGAGACAGAGAGAGAATGGTAATATGTAGGTGGTAGAACTTGTTGCCAAAATTTGAGCCTCGTGTCTTTAAAGCGGTCCCTCGACAGTAGTTAGCTATTGATTTCTGGCTCTGTGAGTTGGAGCACCTTCTTGCCGGGGGAAAATTATTTGCCGTTAGGAAACCCTTCAAATGATAAACCAAGAAACCGTTGTATTTTCATTTTGGTCTCTTTTCTTCAAACACTTCAACAAGGGTCATGTGTAGCCTAAAAGTATCTTCAGTCTGTTGGTAAAAATGGCTGAATGTGAAACTTTGGAATTAGAGCTCTCTAGGCATACCGAACCTGCTCAACTTGGTTTATAAGCCCCGTTCTCTTTTACCAGAGAAGGTAGGAGGCTAAGAAATGGAAAAACTGTGAGAGAAGTCGGGAGAATGCTTGGGCGTACTTTTATCGGGAAATCATTGAGGAAATGTCTTTATTGAAGACAGGTGATGCGCTGACTGATTTTCTTTTTCCAGCTTGAAGTACTTTCTGACATGACCTCATATAAATGCTTACTAGTATTTTGGAAAATGTATTTAGGGAGAAGAGAGGATTTGCCACGGAATGATTTTCCATATTGACATGCTTTTTCCGATGGGTTGTAAAGGATCCGCCCCAATTTTATGCACTGGGGCCTGGAAGAGTAATCCTCTATCAAAGATAGCCAAGCATCTCTCCGTGCCAGTCTGGCACCTGAGAAGTCTTGTAGTTGCTGGGTTTCCCCCAGGGCAGAAGCACCAGGAAGCCAAGGTTTCAAGGAGAGTCTGGCTGAGGTTTTTATTTCTGTTGGACTACATGTGACTTTTTTAGACCTTCGCAAGGTTTACAGGTAACTGGGTTTCAGAAGTTAGAGTGTGACCTAATGCAGGCTTCAAGCTGGACAAACTCATTCAGCAACCTGTCAGTTTTTTTCAGCTCTACGTTGAAAAGCCTGTGAAAATGTTCCCTACATCCCATCAAAGTGGACTTGAGAACACGAGGTCAAGCTGGGAACCCAAGATGTGGGGGTGGGGGGTGGAGGGTGGGCTGGGGGCAAGCATCTGAAGGGTCAGGAGAACAAAGTCGAGTTCTCTGAATCAAATACTAAGTGATCTTTCTCTATCCCATCCCCTCCCCCCCACCGTCTTCCTTTGACCCTTAGGCCTGCACTGCCTGAGAAGGTAGCTGACCTCAGCACGCTGAATGAGGTGGGCTACCAAATCCGAATTTAGGCAAGCCATATCAGCCAGCAAGAGGGCTTCCATGGTGCTTCTCTCTGCACTTTACCCCAGCATCTTCAGGAGGAACTGCAACTATTTATTGAGAACCTGTGGATTTTATTTTTAAGGATTCACTTGGACATGGAATCTGAGTGGGTGGTAACAATTAATGTTGAAATTCACCAAGGGGCCACCATGAAAAGGCTGAAGTAAGAAACCCCACCGGGGTTGGACTATCTCCCTCACTACAGATAGAAAGGGAAATATGTAACTGTAGTTTTTTTATCTTCCCATTGACCTACTTTTTGTTTACTTGCTTTTGAACATGATGCCTCCTCACCAGTAGTGTATGTTACTGAAACCCTCCCTCCTACTTTTGATATAGTAAGGTAACTCAGCCAGTATTAATGTCTTTTTTCAGCAATAACAGAGGCAAAGATTGGTGGGATTTTTTTTTTAAGCAGTCAATATTACCTCAGCATCTTGACATCAGATATGCAAACTTAATGGTTTTTTTTTTTTTTAATTCTATTTGTATTGTTTCCCCAATATTTCCAATGGGGATCTCCACAAAGTTTGGAATTTTTTCCTGGTACACACATAATGGGAGTTAAGGTATTATATCAAGTGTTTTACTAAAAAGCACTGAAATTCTTCTGGCAATACGGGAAACTATTTCCAGGATCTTGGAGTTACTTCTTTCTTAATCTTTCTTAAAGTATTCACTGACAGCGGTTTTTTGTTCTTTCAAAACAAAAAGCACGATCAGAAGGTAGTCTGTGTTCTGTCACTAACATTTAAACTTTGCAAACTCCAGCAAAAAAAGCACAAGAGGTCATGGCACTGTGACACACATTTAGCAGTATTGCAATTACCTCTGACAATCACACACTCAGAAAGGCAGAGGCCAGGAATCAATCAGCAGAGTCTTGAGAACCAGTTAACCTTTCTGTTCACGTGCCATCTGATTTTTAAACTCTGAGTCAGGCCTTGATTCTGAAGGACTCACTGTTGTCAGAGACGTGTTCTGATGTCTTATATTAAGACCAAGTGTGGCACGATGTGATCCCTTTCCAGTCCCTTGCTTTTAAGTACCACTTCATGACATTTAGGAACTGATATTGGAAAATGCGATGAATTAGCGAAGCAGAACCTTTTCTTAAATGGAAAAGTCTTCAGGTACAGTGTTCCATCTTAGAGCGTGATGGAGTCCGTGAAAGACAGTGTATCTGTGTAACTTCTGACTGCAGACCGCACAGAGGAACTCTACCCGCCAAGTCTATATGTTATCAACATCAAGAGCATGCTTCCGTTTCATCTGTTGTAGCTCAACGGCCGTGCCAACTCGTGAGCCCGACGCGCAGATGTAAGTGAAGTCTGCTAGTCAACAGAAGTGTTATCTCAGTTGAGGGCTTCCTCTCTGGCTTTCTTTGCCTGAAGGTGATTTTAGAAAGGGGAGTAGAAAAATAATCTGCTCACTGAGATTCTTTACCAGTAAAACCACTGAAGGTGACTTCATCCCTCGGCCGTGTGTGCATGAGCTCACTCTATGCTAAAACTCAATGGCATTAATAGAAAGTCGTATTTTCTTGAAAAAGAAGGAAGTTTAGTGTCCTTTATGTGAAAAGGACCAAGTAAGTATACATCTCAATTAAAATACAGAAGTTAAAAATTCTGAACTTAATCACTTTAAGAATAGTATTCTCAGTTCCAGTTTAAGATGACGTTTATCTTTGTATCTCTTCATAAGGCAAACGCATTTGCAGCCTCATGGCCACATGTACTGAAGTATTTCAATTAGTCAATTCATTCTCGTTCTAAAACAATACTGACAGCTCTCTCTGTGAAAAACAAGATGTATGTATCTTATGTTTATCAATCTGACACTTTATTATCTCTAATAAGTATACAACTTCTACCACTGCAGTCATTCTAAGAGCTTGGAATAGGATTTTCCAAGGATTACGTAAGTACCGTCCCCTCCAAAATATACAATGTCATTAGTTGCATAGCCTCTTGTTTTCCCACAAAAAAGGGTAAAAGGATAGGAACACAAACTGTTCTAATATGCTGATTTATAAGCCTTAAAACCGCCAGCTGGTTTGGTGATTCAATTAGTAACCTGATCTTTTTCCTACTCACTTCTTGATTTTAAGATTCAGTCCCCCAGAGCCAGGGTTAGTCACAGAAACATGAAAAGTAATTTAAAATGCTCTTAGTTTTCATTCTATTTTTATTGCCTATGGAATTACGTTGATTTCTGAAAGATGTGAGAAAGGCACCAAACTCTTAAATTCTAGTGCAGGAATTTAATTAAAATGATATTAAGGCAAAAACAAAACAAAACCATGACACAATTTACCCCCCTCCCCAAAATTGATTTTTAAAACTGGCTATTATTCAAAAGATAAAAAATAAAACTATGAGATGATTTGAATCTAGTTTTTAAAGTTATAAATGCAAGAGAGATTTTATGCTTAAGCCATTATGGGGATATATGCAAAGTTTAAATGGATGACAGAAATCTTGATTTTAGACTCCATGTTGTGCTGTTTTGAGTATACTTTATTTCAGAAAGTGATATTTAGTATTTTCTATACACTTTGAAATCATGAGCATTTCACTTTTTCTAAGTCAATTATTTCATAAGGATTTTATTAATAGATATTGGTAAATAGAACTTTGGAAATCTTAATTCTGTATTCTTACTATACCCGAGGCTTTTTGTAAGCTATAGTTTTATGTACAACCTTGTACAGTTTTTTTGACACACAATTCAGAATTTTGTTTATTCTCTTGGACTTTGTTCTGGCCAATACATTTTTTTTAAATCTTTAAGGAAAACTGTGATTGTTTTAGTGGGTATTTTTCTAAGTAAAGGAAAACTTGTATAATGGTATTTTAGAGAATGCCAGATAAGTGCATGTTTCAAGTTAATGTTTTTCTCATCACTTGTATGTTTATACACAGCATGGGACTTTAATAAAACCATCCTGGAAACTTAAGGATTCTTTTTCTTCCAAAAACGTAAGATGGTGTGATTTATTTTTTTCTTGTCCTTTTACTACATACTTGTCCCAGTAAACTCATTTATCACTCCCTCATCCTTGTCTTCTTCCACAATTTCCAGACCCTATATTCAACACTATTCTGTTTTGCCACATCTGAACTCACTTAGATTTTAGCATCACCCTAAGTAATATAGGCTTTAGGGTAATGAAGTAGTTTAGAATGGGGAACAGCCCAGCATACACACTTAGCACACCTACCACAAAATCTCCAGGCACAGATGCACTAGAGTAATAATTTATTAGGTGATTCATAGAGACAAAGTGCAAATAACTTGACTTCTCTGTTTCCCCAACCCTTGAACTCTCTGGATCTCTAACTTGGTTTTTTAGGAAAGCAAAGGGTTAAAAGCAGACAGGTGCTAAATTCCAAAAAAAAAAGGACAAGATTTCAAACATGCATCTTATCTTGATATCAAAAGGTATAGTAAAACCAACATTTCTTACTCCACAGTATCTCTTTCCATTTTAAAACTTGGCCAGTATACCACTTCAGATTGGGGGTGATTTGGCTTCAGCAATTAAACAGTTTAAATGCTTTTGGCAGGTAAATACAAGAGAGTTAGCAATTCTTCTGACCAAAAAAAAGTGAAGACAAATGGATAGTTAATTTTAGTGGAGCTTTAAAAACCTGTGAGAAGGTTACATTGACTGACCTCTTGGCCTCCAGTTCACAAAATACTATTACATTCTAAAGGCTAAAGTGGAAAACATTTTTATGGATTAACTCTACAAAGTGAAGCACATGAAAAGGGCCTAAAATCAATATATTGATCAGGACATAAAAAATTAAATTTTCACAGAAGTTTTCAGAGATGTTAGTTTAGCAACAATGACCTATACACAAAGTTATCTGTTAAACTCACATAAACACAAAGCAGTAATTAATGAATTTTCATTTTTCTTTCCCCAATATTAAAAGGGATTAATTATACTATTATTTCATGATGACAATATCTGCTAATTAGAACATACAATATTCTGCAGACTGTTACTAGAAAATGTGGAAAATCTTAGAACTACAGTTAATACTATAAGTAAAAACCCAAAAAAGTGAGAAATTAAACATTTAAAAATACTTATTATGATTTTTAGTAGGTAAATCCTTATAACCCACACGCCTTGTTCAGGTAGTCATTTGATTTTTTTTCTTAAAAAATAACTGTAGTAAATATACTTTAGTACAAAAACCTTTAGAGTCCAGGACCTGGAGTAACTACTGCTTTCTAATTTAAGATGAGGTGTTCTATGAAGAACACCCATTGTAAAAACTTTTATAATTCAGTATAATTGAATATAAAATTACTACTTAGTAAAAATGCGCATAATTCTTTGATCCTAATGTCTAAAAAAAGAGGACATGTTCACTTTTTCTGTTTTAAAATGTTTGATCCAAACACTCACAGAGCGCCAACTGTGGGACTCACTAGACCTGCTCTTAAACCACTTTACAAAAAAATGTCAGCACCACCTCACACTGCTGCCTTATTATAAAAGAAAACAAAGTAACATCTTAGAAACAAAACCACTAAGATGGTTACAATTACTACTTAAGAGTATTAGGTCTCCAAGTTGGTATCTCCCTGCTAGTTCTGCAGGCTTCCTAAATATCTAAGGCAAAACCAAAAGAATCTTATAGCTGCCACTTTGTTCTAAAGACAAGTTTCCTCATAGAATGAATTTCCACAGAACTGGTTCAGAAAAATAGTCTCTCCCCCAACCCAGGGATCTCTTCTTGAAACTGAAGAGAAAAAAGAAAAAAACACAAAAAGCAAAGTGCTTAGGGAAACAAAGGCATTCTAACCCAGTCTTTGCCTCTCTCAGGCATGCTGGAATGGTCTGTCACAGGATGGAAAGAGGGCGTGTATACAGCACCTCACCTACTAGTAATGGTGACCTACATCTCCCAACAAAATGCAGACATAGTACACGGCTCAGGAGAGTAATAAGACGGATTAAGCAATTTGTACAATTTTAGAAAGCACTATAAGCCCCCTCAAAACCAAGCTAAACTGGTTGCCTGGACACTTGTGATTTCCGAGATGAACTAATTAGGATTCAACAAACAGATGGTCCTCACAATGAAATCAGGCCTTCTGGGAGGGAAATGAGTTGTGGTTTGCAAGAACTCAAAGACACTTTGGATCCACCATAAAGCTTGCCAAAAACATCAACTGAAATTCTTTACTAACTAAAGAGGATGGATGCACTGTATTTAAAAATCACTGTCAATTTTACTGGGATGTAGAATAAAAAATATTTACAACTCTTTTACAATAAGGAGCGTTTGGATCGCACTTGTCAGGAAAATATTTTTTCGGTATTACAAAGAAAATTGTTGTAAACTTGTTTCTTCTGACATCTGTTTCAAGCATTTAACATAACCTCTTCAGAAACTCCACGGCGCAAAAATAAACATGCAAACTCTCAAGAAATATTTTACATTTTTTTGAAAAAGAATATAAATTGGAAAGAAAAGTATATATGTAATCAAAGAAGAGTCACAGCTCAAGTCTGAACTTAGCCAATAAAGGTAGATGATCTGAAGAATTATTTTCATTTGGAAGTCCATTAACAGTCCACAAATCTTGTTCCGTAAGGAGTGATAGTCTGGCCAAAAGTTTCAAGCCACCAACCAGAGCAACTTCAGCTCCTACATTAAGGAAACACATGTTTAGTGAAACTGTGTCAACAGGTCATTGTAAATTAATCATACAAGTCCTTTTTTAAACGATGATACAGAACCTCAGAACTTTCTGGAGTCTAATGGGAAACAGCTTTTAGAATATGATTAAATTTCATATTGAGTTATAACCTAATTATAGTTCTCCGACACACAGCAATTTTAGATGTTTGGTTTTATTTCTGGTTCAAATTTTTTTTTGAGTTCTGCAAATAATCTTTAGAAGAAAATACTGTCTGTAATACATAAGTATGTTAAAGTAATTTGAGGGGCGCGTGGGTGGCTCAGTCAGTTAAGCATCTGACTTCGGCTCAGGTCATGATCTCAGGGCTGAGACTGAAACCCCCATTGGGGCTCCACTTCTCAGCAGGGAGCCTGCTTGTACCTCTTCCTCTCCCTCTGCCTCTCCCCTGACTTGTGCATGCTCTCTCTCTCAAATAAATAAAATCTTTTTTTTTTTTAAAGATTTTATTTATTTGAGAGAGAGAGAATGAGAGATAGCACGAGAGGGAAGAGGGTCAGAGGGAGAAGCAGACTCCCTGCCGAGCAGGGAGCCCAATGCGGGACTCGATCCCGGGACTCCAGGATCATGACCTGAGCCGAAGGCAGTCGCCCAACCGACTGAGCCACCCAGGCACCCTCAAATAAATAAAATCTTTAAAAAATAATAAAAATAAAAAAATAAAAAAAAAGTAATTTGAGGGGCGCCTGGGCGGTCCAGTCGGTTGAGCGTCTGACTCTTGGTTTTGGCTCAGGTGGTGGTCTCGGGATTGTGGGGTCAGCCCCATAATGAGCTCCAAGCTCAGTGCAGAGTCAGCTTGGGACTCTCTCTCTCTGCCACTTCCCTTCTCTCCATGCTCACACACGTTCTCTTGCTCTCTCATAAATAAATCAATCTAAAAAAAAAAGTAATTTGAGATTGACAACTACATAAGAAATTCATCAACTATTCCATAGTTGTATAAACCAGACAGACCCAGCCACAGCTGAGTAGGAAGTTTATAAGGTGACCGGAAAATAAATTAGCATACTTCGGTTCCAGAGTCAGTGCCTACAGTAGAGTAAGAGGACCTGCTGTTAACGGCAACATGTGAGATGCCGGTCTATGGCACACTCCCGCCACCTAGTGAACACTTACAGCATGACAACTACCAGACCCCGACTATAAATTCAAAGCAGCAAGCATATTTCAGACTTGATCTAGTTGGGGAGGGCTAAACTTAAGCCATCCCCTGAGTGACAGTAATAAGGTTATCCTCAGTAGGAAAGAAAACACAAACAGAAGAAAAAAGGACAAAAGGAAAGTAGCACACACACAGAAAGAAAGAAAAAAAAGGAAAACCAGAAAAGACAAAACAACTGTCCACATTTTGGACTTGTGAAGTTTTCTGAATGATATTTTTTGACTTCCAGTCATTTTAAACTGCATTTTCTTCTCCACGTTAAATATTCTGGTTAATATTTAAAACCTTACTTTCACTGAATCATATAAGGAAAAGTGTTTTATCACCTCTGCTTTTTGAAACCACATATTCATATAATGGACTTCTCTTTCCAGAAAGATCCAATATTCCAGAATCAACATGACAAAACTTTCTGTTGTTGTCAATATAAGCTATGTCCTCCAATGAAGGCAGCATGCCTTAGTAAAATTTAAGTACAAAACTATCTGATGTTGCTGTCCCTCCCCCACCAAAAAAAACCCAGTAAATTTATGGCAAGTAAAACCAAAGGGCAATATGAGAGACCCATAACTCAGAAGCTGACTGGACCTGGAAGGGGGAGCTAAGGATATAATTCTTAGGCAATAATTTGCTTTGAGGTGTTTCACTGCCTCCATGTTTTGCGGGTGATTAACTGATTTACTCAAATACATTACCAATTTCAAAATATTTTTAACTTTTAAATTTAAAACTTCACCTAGATATTTAGCTAACTTTTCTTGACCTCAGCGCCAAGGTTGGAGTTACTATATTCTTTTTTTTTTTATTAGAGGAAACATTTCTTTCTTTTTTTTTTTTTTTTACAGATTTTACTTATTTATTCATGAGAGACAGAAAGAGAGAGAGGCAGAGGGAGAAGCAGACTCCCTGCTGAGCAGGGAGCCCGATGCGGGACTCGATCCCAGGACTCTGGGATCATGACCTGAGCCGAAGGCAGACGCTTAACCATCTGAGCCACCCACGCGCCCGCAGTTACTATCTTCTTAAGCACAGTGTAAGATTACATGCATTCTTTACCTGGCTGCCCGGCAACATCTTCCTTTTCAGCAGAATAGAAGATATAATCCACAGTTATGGCACTTCGGGAATGACAGGTGGTCACTTCTGGAATTCCAGTGTCAGGAAAATAATGTGAATAAACAGACGACAAGCTGAAATGGTGCTGTAAATTTGAAGATAATCTAAATTGAAAAGAAAAATTGCTTAGCATCAAGTTTTTCTTGATTTTTAGAATTCTTCCTGTTTAAAGCACTTTCTCATTTAATTTCCAGACAAAGCCAGACATTCAGACAAGCTTTATTTAAACAGACCACATCACAATTTGGCATTCATTTATTCATGTGGTGATATCCAAAACCCATTAACAAGGCTTTGATACGTGGGGTAAAAACTCAATTATTAACATATTAATGTGATTTATTATTAATTATAACATATTTGAGAGCCTGCACTTCCAAAGAAAAAGTGGCCTTTATGAATGTTATGTAGAACCCACCAGACTTTTGATGTCAGAGGGGCTATATTTTTCTATGATTATTCCTGCTATGACATATCAGATAATTTTGTACTGTATCTTAAAACAGCTTCTATAATGGTTTATCTTATCTCATGTTACAAATACATGTGATGTAATAAAGAGTTTAAAAATCATTTCCAATAAACACATCTTGAAGTTTAAAAATCTTTTATATTGTGAAAAAAAATTTTTTAAACTTTAAAATTCAACATTTAACAAATACCTACTAAGTTTCAGGCACTACCTTAGGTGCTTAAGATACACATATAAAGACACTTTTTAAAGAGCTCAATGTCAAAGAACAAAGGTTATTCTTTCAAAATGCCCTTGCTTTCCAGTTTTAGCAATGTTTTATGTCTGAGAACTTATATTTACAATATTATTAAAAGTAAAATAGGTTTCCTGCAAACTGTTCTCTTACTAACAATTCTTTGGTTTATAGATAAAAGCTCTGCATATAAGCACACTACATTTATATATAGATACTTAAAAGTATCTTTTCTTTTTTAAAAATTTTTTTATTGTTATGTTAATCACCATAAAAGTATCTTTTCTTATACCTCATTCTGTTATAAAAAGATTTATAGAATTACTCAAAACCAAATATTTGTTAGATTTGTCTTTTTGTTAATCTTACTCAGGGAGGGCATCTGGGTGGCCCAGTTAAGCGTCTGCCTTTGGCTCAGGTCATGACCCCAGGGTCCTGGGATCGCGTCTCGCATCAAGCTCCCTGCTCAGCAGGGAGCCTGCTTCTCCCTCTCCCTTTGCCCCTCCCCCCGCTCATGCTCTCTCACACGGGTGCTCTCTCTCTCTGTCTCTCAAATAAATAAGTAAAATCTTTAAAAAAAATCTTAGGGAAGTTTTTACTATATTTGAAAGGTTTAATCATGAATTTTTACATATTCTTTTTTAAAAATTCAAAAAATGTTGCTTCCCATCTTACCAGGTTCTTATATATGAGATAATATTTTCTCAATACAAAGTATACAAAATAAAATAAGACCAAGAAGAAAGCAGACAAAATGAATGAGAGAATTCTAATTTGGTCCCTAAATGCAAATGTTAAAACAAAAACTAAAACTAGTAAGAGTCACAATATAAAATCAAAACATTTTAAGAATCTCCCAAAGAGACAAGATTGAATCTCCATCCTGCTGTATTCACATACATCTGTTTCTCAACCATAGCCCCAAATATTCATGCTTCTTTAATCATAAGGAACCCAGGCATCTTCACCCCTCCACCTTTGGTAACTTTTCCCTGCAGTTCAAGAGATATAAATATTTATGTAAACTATATGATTTAAATATAAATATTTATACTGGCATATTCTTTTTCGATCAATTCTCCTACAGATTATTTTGAGATCTAGTAAGCCAAAGGAGGCTAAGCATCCTCTTGAAATCTGAAAGGTATTTTCCTGTAATCTTGACCTTTGTTTAAATATGTAATAGCAACGTATTTCAGAGTACTAGCTGGTCCAGGTCCATGGACAGGCTGTTTGCTTTAAATAACACTGCTTAAGCCCTTACTATGAATCAAACATCAAACTTTCCATTCTTTGTTTCATGTAATCCTCCCAACTACCCAAAGTATAAAGAAACTGAATCTCAGAGATGTTAAGTTTCTTGTTCAGAATCACACAGCTAAAATGTAGCACAGTTAGGAACTCAGGTCTATTTTGACTTTAGCATTCTTCACCAGCACGGAAAAACATCCTTTTCATTTTTTATCCCAGTGATTTCTGAGAAATGATTTTTTTACCCAAGTAAAGTCCCTAAATGTCTACTGTTACTTTCCAGAACTCACTTTTCAGCTGTCACTAGGACCTCTGTTTTGTCCAGCTCTGTCTGTGTCAGATCACTGTCTATAAGAACAAAGAGAAACATATTAAACTATCAATATATGGTTCTGCTCTAGTATGCCATAGAATAGTCTTCCTACTCTAGGAATGATATTCAAGACATGTCTAGTTTAGACAGATGCCTAGTTAAATGTTCCATCAGGGAATCTTTATGTTTTGATGGTCTCCGTAATTAGCAAAACTGAAATGCAAACATTTCTAAAGCAACATGCAAATAATTCATGCAATTTTGGAAGGTCAACTTAAGAATGGTAAATTTAGACTTCATTAAGAAAAGGAATAAGCAAGTAAGTATTATGTTTTTATATATGAATATTCATCCCTGAGATGTTATCCCTTGAAAAATTTAGTCTGATGTCTTCCTCAAAGGGAACGCTATTATCAAGGAGACTGCCAAAATGTACTGCAAACACTTACCTGTCTTTTCTACTTTTGGTAACTGCTGTACCTCATACACACAGTTCTGTGAGATACCTAGGTTTGGGGGCCAAATTGGAATAGATAAAATTCTTTGTCCCCGTGAAGACTGTTCCTGGCCAGATACCTAAACAAAATTTCAACAGGTATCTTAAGTGAATAGATTTTAAATAGTTTATGTATTGAAAAGTTTATGTCTTAAATAAGAGGAAATCCAAGAATGGTAAATATTATCTGTTATTCATCATAGTAAGTGATTATTTGTGCTTATGAACTCTTGTTCAAATACAATTCAGAAAGCAGTTACTATTTACATAAAAATGGCAATATTTTCCTCTCCTGTACATGTCTAATTGGGACATCTATATGATCTATAACTTTGGATTAATACTGCCCCTCCTTTTTTGCTACCTGCAATTACATTAATATAAAATCTTATGTACTTGATCTAACTACTATATAAAATACTAAGGGAGATCAACTCTTACAAAATTTTAAAACTATCACTCAAACCTCAGTGGTGGAGAATTATATTTTGGTTAAAATTCTGGAGATCAAATGATCTGAAGCAAGCAACAAAAAGCACAATGAAGATAAACACGGGAGAAACATGAGATATAGTCAGCTAAGAAATTAAAATATTTACCATTATGAAAAGGAAAATGTACATACTAAAGAAATATTAAATTACTGTTTTGCCAACTATATTGCCCACATCCAGCATTCAAAAGTCTATTACACTCCCTTATGAATAGTTCCTTATTTACGAAGTCTATCAATGCTTTTTCTTCTTCACCCCCATTTTGGATTTTTTGCTACCTGCCAATTCCTCCAAGCATAATGCTGCCATGAATAGATGGAAAAGATGAAATTCAACCAAGTGAGCATCATTACTTATTAGTAGTTGGGGAACATCATCACAGCTTGGTAAAGCGAGGGTACTGGGTCATCCAAGGTTTTCAAACAGCCATGTGATAACTATCCTCACACTACAATGAACAGAGAGACTTAAGTCCGCCTCCTAATGATGATGAAGCAAGCACTTACCTTGCCGATGGCAAGTCCTTCATAATTCAATTTTCCTTCTTTTATAAAACTATAAAGCGGAGAACCAGGAACAGAATTAAAGTCACCACACATAATGATAGGGCAGAAGCTGCCATCTTTCTGATGGGCAACACTGGAAATCTCTGCCAGAAGCATGGCCAATTGGGTCAGCTTAATATCGCCTCGCCTTGGGTTATACAACAGATGTGTGTTAGCTACACAGACCACAGGAGAGGCAGCCCTCGGAACTCTGGGCTGCAAGAGTAACACCAATCCAACATTGTCTCTGTCCAACAGAGGAACATCACGGCGGTAGAATTCCACTGGGTTCACTGATAAGAGTGAAAACTTGGAATGTTTGAAGCAAATGGCACAGCCATCAGGTTTCCTTCCTGTCCGCATCTTGTATTCACAGTGATAACCTACGAGGAAGAAAGAAATTTAACACAGGACTGCCATATAAATATATATGGCAAAACACAGCTCTTCTAATATCTCTGTACAACGTTTATCAAAGTGTATTCTCCCAAGCATTAATAATGTAGGATGTTAAGTTTGAGATTGGGTCTAGGTCCTAGGAATGGGTCTCTTTACTGGTAGACTTCAGTCCTAAATATGCTAATGTGCATGATCATGCTCTCATTTCCATCCCAGTAAAAGTCGTGACAAAGACAGTAAGGCCTTACGATAATCTACACCGCCCCCTCCAGACCCCCTGACAGCCCATCTCTGACCTTTCTGCTTCTAACTCTTCCCAGCTTGCTCTACTTCACATACACCTCACCAGCTGCCTTCAGGCACTTCTATCTTGGCGTTTGCTTTGCTACTTCTGTTGTCTGAAAGGCTCTAGGTATGGCTTGTTCCTTCACCTCAAGTCTCTGCTCAAATGTTACCTTCTCTGATTGTTTAAAATTGAAATCTGACCCATTCTACTTTCCTGCTTTTCTCCAAAATTATCATTACTTAATGTGCTATTTAAGTATTTATTTGGTTTACTGTCAGCCTTTCTCCACGAGAATATAGGCTCCACAAGGACAGTGACTTCTTATCTATTTGGCTCACTGCTAGATCACCACAGCCTAGGATAGTGCATAGGATATAGCAGGCATTCAAAAAATATTTGCTGAGGAATGAATGCAAAGTAGGCAGCATTTCTTAAATAGATGAACTGTTTCTCGAAGTGTTCATTCATCAAACAAACTACCCATTTGTTACTGGTAGACACTGTTATAATGATGAACCAGACAGAATGGTCCCTGATATAGAACTCAGAAACTTCGAGGTCTAGTGGTGGGTAGAGCAACTCCTGGAAAGGAATCTATTAAGAGATTCTTACATACTTTTCTGTTTGAATTAAAATTATATATCAAGGGGCGCCTGGGTGGTACAGTCGGTTGAGCATCTGACTCTTGGTTTTGGCTCATGTCGTGATCTCAGGATTGTGGGATCGAGCCCCACAGCAGGCTCAGCGTGCAGCCTGCTTAAGAGTCTCTCTCCTTCTGCCCCTCCCCTCCAAAAGAAATAAATCTTAAACAAAATAAGAAAAAATAAAATTATATATCAACCCAAAAGTTCCCACTTAAAATATCTCAATCTTTTCCTGACCTTTTGAAATGGGTATTAAGCTTTTTCAAAATTAAGATTTTTTTTTTTTAAGGATTTTATTTATTTGACAGAGAGAGACACAGCGAGAGAGGAACACAAGAAGGGGGAGTGGGAGAGGGAGAAGCAAGCTTCCTGTGGAGCAGGAAGCCTGATGCAGGGCTCGATCCCAGGACCCTGGGAGCATGACCTGAGCGGAAGGCAGACGTTCAATGACAGAGCCACCCAGGTGCCCCAAGATTTTTTTTGCCAGTATACACCACACACATCTTTGTTAGCACGTTATACTTTAACAACACACAATCTTTCAAAGTAAATCCGGCTAAAATAAAAGTTACATTGTACCCAAAGATTCCAAACTTGGCCTGATCTCTGCTCCATAATGATCTTCTTGAACTTCTTGCAAACAAAGTACCTTGGAAGGAAAAAATGGCTTGAATTAAAACAGAGAGCAAATATGAATTTTCTGGTGCTTTCATCTTTAAAAACAGGCATCTAATATTCTAAAAATCTAATGAAAGTTGAAATAAAAAGACAATCCTTTTTCTTAAAACTATCAAATTAATATTTCTAGATTTGATCAGTCCCCAAAAACCTGGCCTTTAATTACATGAAGCTCTCTCTCTTACTATCCAAAACTGGTATTTCTCAAAAGAAGTATTTTAAATTTACATGTTGGGATATTTTTCCTGAATTACAATGTTCATTAGTACTAAATCCTTCTAGTCTTTTCTTAAGGTGATTTCTTTGAATGTATCTAGATTTTTATAGGAATGACTTACATTTCAAATCAACGGAAATACTTAACTGAATATTTAATACATTGCCAGTCCCTGTCTCAGACTGACTGGTAAGCAGAACTTTTGGATCTTTTTTGAAAATTTAATGACTATTTATACCAATAATGATTATTTATACCAACTTTTTGGATTTTTTTTTTTTGAAAATTTAATGATTAGCAAATGACTCTTTGGAAGTCATGATACATTGTTAAAAAATGTTCCATCACTGGGCGCCTGGGTGGCTCAGTTGGTTAAGCGACTGCCTTCGGCTCAGGTCATGATCCTGGAGTCCCGGGATCGAGTCCCACATCGGGCTCCCTGCTCATCAGGGAGTCTGCTTCTCCCTCTGACCCTCTTCCCTCTCGTGCTCTCTATCTCTCATTCTCTCTCTCAAATAAATAAATAAAATTAAAAAAAAAATGTTCCATCACTATATTTAAAACCACCTTCCCTTCTTACCCCACAAACAAAAGGGATAAAACCATTTAGTTTACAAATGAGCTTTTCTTATGTGAAGAATTTTGATGATATTCTGCACTTACATCTGCATCAAAGTGTTTAATTTCTTTCAGAATATTGGGAAACCTAAAACTCCAGTGTAAAACTGGCCGCCGGCAGTGTCTATAAAGATGTGAATTGTCTTCCAATAAATCTTGTGAAAGTATATTATAGGACATCACTGAAAAGTCAAACTTGTTATCACTGTCTTCACATTTGGGGTCAACATTTTTGTCTCCTAGGATCTTTGTCTTGTCTTTATTATGGTTACATATATATTCCCAATGTCGTTGTATTGTGCCTGTTAAAATATATTGAACAAAATATAGAGAATTAATGAAAAACAGACTAAATATTTTCCTGCATGTAAGTTTTTTCTTGCCTTTTAAAAATTCCCACAGGTAATGAACAGAATGTTTTCCCCCAGGAAATGGCAACATAGCACTAAGTAACAGATGTTGTCATCAAATTGATTATGAAGGCAGTAAAATGATATAATGACTGACCAACAGGTATAAAACAAGTTTAAAAGGATCTAGCAAGTCATTATGGAGACTGAGAGAGTATTAATAAAGCTAGGACTATATAGTTTCTCACCTACTTATGGTTAAGAAGTGGTTCTGCCAGACACGCTCAGCAACTTTATAACCATGATAACATACAGTTGACCACTGAACAATGCGGGGGGGGAGGGGGTGGAGGGGGTGGAGGGGAGGGTTAAGGGCATTGTGCAATTGAAAATCCACATAAAACTTCTGACTCCTTCAAAACTTAACTACTAATAGCCTACTCTTGACTGGAAGCCTTACCAATAACATAAACAGTAGATTAACACATAACTTGTATGTTATATGTATTTTATATGGTATTCTTACAATAAAATAAGCTGAAAAAAAATATTAAGAAAATCATAAAGAAAATACATTTACAGTACTGTACCGTACTTATCAAAAAAGTACACGTTTAAGTGGACCCACGCAGTTCGACTGCTGTTCAAGGGTCAACTATATCTGTATGTCACAGTTGGCTTTTCAATAAGATGATTTCACACCGTAGTTTATTTCCTATTAGTAAGATAAGATTACCAAATGATTAAGTTCTAGAAATAACTCATCTCAGAATTCTGGTTTAGACATGAATGAAGGGTGTATGATGGCAATATATGGAAGCAGTATTTAGTGGAACAATGCAGACAAAATGAACAAAGAAATCTTTTTAATGCACACCAAAGCAAAAGTTAAAGATAACAGAGTTGTAGAATGCTAGTAAATGACAAGCGCTGATTGAAGAACCTAGCATGCAGCAACCACGAATGTGTGATGGCTTACACTCTGCAAAGATACATGTACCCTGACAGTGATGAAAAGAGAATCAAAAAGCATGAGATTTTGCAACTACAGGCAGTCCTTGACTCAGAAATGACCTACAACACACACACACAAATATACATACATACGCCCCTTTGATCTTGTCTCCCTCACCCCACCATGAAGGAGGATACTCTTACTGCCATGGAAGCCATGAAGAAAAATGCGGAACCTTTAGAGATTCTACGAGCTCAATAGAAGGGGAAAACAAGAAATGGGAAGAACTTGGGAAAACAGATTTGGAGATCGATTTTCAAGTATGGTTAAATTTACAGGAAAAACCTCAGTCTTAGAATATCTCCCTTTTCCTGTGTGAAGGTTTTCACTACACTGGATTACAATGCCTAAGATTCTACCAATTAAAAATTAAATTGAGGAAAAATAATTCTATACATACAGGAAAAAAGGACCAAAAGGAAAATATACCAGTATTTTTAAGAGCAGTTATCTGAGCAGAAGGATTGTGGGTGATTTTTCTAAATCTTCCACAATGATGATATATTCATAATCAGAGTATCAATATACTCCATGAGAATGCCAATAAAGTGAAATTTAAAAATGCCCTCTGGTAAACGAGTTTAATAAGATTGCTTTCCTCAAAATCTAAATGCTGATAGCAGCTGCACGGAGGGAGTAGACATTTTGACCAGAGGCTAGAAGAGAAAGATCATTTTTATGAATAGTGAGGTCTGGGTGGAACGGGGTATTGGAGACTTACGATACCATGAAGGTACTAAGAACCCGAGGAGAAGGGTAAAGAAAAAAAGGTGGACAGAAGGAAAACCAAACGAAACAAAAGCCTTCCAGGATTACAGAACTTAGCCTGGAGCTTGTCCTATACTCAGGAAAGGGACAGAAACTATCCCCTTCTGTATCCTGCACTGAATATGGAGAATCCTACCTGCAAAGGCCAAGAACTACAGCTAATTGCACTGACTCTGCAGGACTACTCTGAGATTTGTAACAGTTTCCATGGGGGAAACAGAAACAATGGCTGACAACTGATTCTCAAGAACTAATTACCCAGAACACAATTCATTCATAAACTGGGGACTGTCTATGACGGTTTTAGCCACAAATCATAGTCTTCGTACGTATACGAGATGCAAAGGGCCCTAGTCATGCAAACAAAATGCAAGCTACCATCACAAAGCACTACCCTGGTGTCACCACCATAGTAAAATATGAAAGATGAAGGTCCAGAAAAGTTGTTCTTATTTTCTTGTAAAATATTTATATGTAAGGGCACATAAATCATTGAGGTTGTATTGTCGGGACAAGCATTTGTAAGCCAACTCTTTTTGCAATTCCATTTTTGAAGTAACTGAAACCATCAGATTACCTAATGAATAGAGTGGCTTTCAAACTTCTAGACTTTGTACAACTCTGGTATTACTTTTCATGTCATGACCATCAACTCCTGGTATACTGGAGCTGGGGTGATGGGGTAAATACATATTTTCTCCTGACCACATTTGTTTTTAATAAACATACAGAAATGTGTTTGAATGCTAGGGTTCCATGGAAGACAATTTGAAGACGCCTGACAGAGATGACAGTCTTTGGCCTTCATATACTTCACAACATAAATTCACACTACAAAAGCTTATATACCTTCCATGTCAGGAGGAACAAGGTGATCACAGCAGAGAAGACAGATGAATCAAAGAAAGTAAGCAATAGGCCTGATCAGGTTTTTAGGGTGCCTAATTAAAAAGTCATAATTGTGTCACACAAATCCTTCAAATGCCACTTTAAAGTGACAGGCAAGTTAGAAGGCTGTTCTCTTGATGGAAAAGTATTAGTGAATTATCGGAAGTCACAAATATGGCTTAACGAAGAGCATTTTCCTTATTCACAACACCTAGGAAGAACGGACATATAAAGAGTCAGGTCGCAATCAAAGTTTATCAGTATGTAAATGTAATCCCCCATCCGTTAAAGGGAAAACCACCACGATTTTCTGAGTACCTACTATGAAGCCGACAGTGTATTAGGCACTTTGACATGTCTCATTTCATCCTCAACAGGCGTTCAAAGTGGGCATTATTTCACACTAGGAAACCAAGGAGCAGAGAGGTTCCATAACCTGGCCAAGTTCATACAATTAGTGGTGAAGCAGAATGAGAGCAGAGAGTGGTTCCTGAGCCCATGCCTGTCAGTACGCCACAGCTCCACCTGAGAGCACACCAGATTTACAAAAGGCTAAACCAGAGAGCAGTGTGCTGACCTGATGAACAATGAATACGGGAAGGAAAAGCAATCTCATGTCTTCATACAGCCCTAGATTTATAGATTATGGACTGACTATTCTTAGGAACCTAATTTTAATGCCTCTAACACCTTTCATTCGTTCAAACGAATATTTGTTGATGAACACATGCTGTGGTCAAGTATTATAAAAATAGATTTTCACTTTCAGTGCTTAAAATTTCTACTCTAATGTGTAGCAGAATTTCCACTTAAAAGATCACGAACTAATCTTCGAGCTAACCTAGCTCTGACTTCCAAGTGAGACTCACTTTGCGTGTTTTCCTTTGACAAACTTATGTGAGCTCCCTACACATTAACACCTACACAGTCTATTTCCAAATACCTTCAGAGGAATTATCTTCACTGAAAACCATAGCTCAGTAAGAAAGACAACTCGAAATTCTACTTAGATAATTCATATATACTTGGGGGAGGAGCAGGGCTGGCAGCACAAAGGGAGTCTCGTGAATTATTTGGCGTAAAAAGAATGACAAAACTAGAAATGATCAACATATTTAGAAAAAAATTGTTTCTCAAAGTTGAATAAGATGTCGTCCCCTTCTTAAAAGATAAAACTTCCCACAGTCTCTCAAGATTATATCAAAAGAACCCACTTTGAGAAATATCCAGAATAAGCTAAACTCTTATTCTGTGAGAAAATATCTTTCAATTATGATTGCATCTATTTAAGAATATCCTTTTGTCTTACATAAAAAAGTTAGCATTAAACTGGCTGGCTCAATTGGTAGAGCATGCAACTCTTGATCTTGGGATTGTTTGAGTCCCACATTGGGTGTGGAGATTACTTAAAAATAAAATCTTCAAAATAAATAAAAACATGAAATTTAATTTTTTAAATAGATATGTGAACTCCCAAGAACATATACCAATTTCTAGGAAGTCTAAGGACCTCTGTTTTAAAAACAATGGATTTGATAATTATTCTTAAGTTAAATTTAATGTTTTAATTTAGTCCTACATTCTTTCCCAACCTTATTCTCTCTATATATAGTTTCTTCTATATTTACTGCCAGAAATACACAATAAAAAATAAAAATAGATATAAATAAAGACTTAATTTTAAAAAATTACTTCCTTTTTCCTAACGGAAAACTACTGGCTGAAAATAAATACTAAACCCCTCCAAAATCTGGAGGAGGTTTTAAGGATTATTAGATAGTAAAGTTTCAGTAACTCTACGGCTTCTGTCTATTTCTGCACCAAGATAAACGTCACCTTTACCTTGGTGTTTTCTTCGTTTTGATGAAGGCTCATCTCCCTCAGAGTTCATGATGTAACTAGAGAGATGAATCAAAGAGGTCTGGCTCAGGTTGTCAGGTCTCCAGTTCCAGTACTGAAACGGAGTTCTAGACTCAAACAAACAAGGTGGTCTCCAATTTAGTGAAAAATGCCTACTACTGAAGTATGGGTAAGGAGCACGAGAATAATGTCCAGGCCACCTCATACAACTAGAAATATGTCTGTTCCAGCAACACCTTTGCAGATTCTCCCACGGTGTCGTCCAATCTCTGCCCAGACTCTTCTGGTGATGGGGTAACATGGGGTATCTAAAAGAAATAAATACACTCCTTGAGGTACCACTATTTGTTCACGCTATAGCACCCAAAATCCAAATCTGTTTCCTCAAGGGAAGATAATGTCTAATATTTAAAATTTGACTTCTAAATCATGAGGGATGGGGGGAGGGGAACAGCCATGATTTAATTATTAGTAGCAACAGTCTCAAAACTCTCCCTACACACCTATGAATGGTATTCGAAATACTTAACATAGAATCCACCAGCCTCCCAAAATACCACACAAACTTCAAAAAGTCCTCACCCCGTTCACCTGAGAGATTAATCAACCATCAAACTGATTTTCAGAGTAGCTTTCTAATATCTAACAAACTCTATGAATAAATAAAACCCACAGCAAACATAATACTCGATTCAATATGCAACACTTAAGCTGAGTACAATTAAAGCAAACCTCTCCTCCAACGTGGGTTTGGAGTAGAAACATGTTTCTGAGCAGTTTTTTACACGAAGATTACATCTTCCAAACATTTGTAGAGCTAAGAAAACAAAAACCTATCACAACTTCACAAAACTACCTCTCTGGCTAATCAGTAGGTGGATAATTTATTTTTCCGTCCTTTTTTATTTTTTTAAGGCATACTTCTCCTTGACGGTAATGAAATGGGATAGCGATTACTTATTAATAATTCACCAATACTTCAAACCCAACAGCACCAATGTACTGATCATCCAAAATGTCTCCAAAGTAGTGTTACCATTAACTTGAATAGATATGTTGCTCTCGGGCTCTCTTAAGAAACAATGCAACTTAAGCACCATCTTCTCACCATACTATTCTGGCAAGATTTTGGATTCAGAGGACTTCTAACCTTTCCCAGAATTCATTAAAGGTACACTTCCAAGATAGTGTTAATACTGTCCACTTCTACCACCGAAAGAAATTTTGCTTAAACTGTATTTACTGTTACTTGACTTTTATATATTCATTTTAAAGGCATTTAAATGTTTTATGATATATTTTTGTTGTTTATGCATTCTCAAATCGTCGTCTAAATTCAACTTAATTGTAAATCTTTAAAAGGCATGACATGGGCAGATTATTCTGCTTTGTGACAACTCTGAAAGCCATAGAGATTTAGGTGCTTGCTCCATACCTTTTTTATCCTAATAGGCTACTGTATTGAAATATAAAACTTGTGCTACAAAACTTATTCTCTATATTTGTAGTTACTTATATAGACATCTTTTTCTCAAGATGATGAGCTCCTTCAAGGCCAGAGCTTTCTTATTCATTCTCATCCCGGTCTCTCCCCCCACAAGTGCCTAGCACAGTGCCTGGCACACAGCTGGTACTCAGGAAAACTGTTGAACTGAATTGTCATCAAGCCCCGGAGTATAAATTAAAACCAGATCCCCATAACTTATATAATAATTAAGACAGTGTTGTGTTTCCCAGGTGCTGTACACCAGTCCATTTCACATGGTACACAATGAAACTTTTTGATTTTTCACCTCTAAATATTTGTTAGAAAAAAACCATCATGAGTACGTCAAACCCAAGATTTCGTGGATACTGCTTAGGGCGACGCTAAGATAGGCAGCATTACTGAAGTGCCTTTCTAAAAAAAAAGAGACAATTTCAAGAAAAAATGTAGTACACACAAGTGTGGAACGAGAATTTGGTAATAAACCGTAAAGTCTTGTATATAAATGACTAAAGTGGGAGAGACACTGACACCACAAACAAATCCCTGGGCGTGCGTGAGACGCGCGCACCTCCCTCGGGGTCAGGCCGCCCCGGGACCTCTCCCCGCCGACGCTCAGCTCCAAGCGGGTGCTGAGGCCTGGGAGGAGGCCGGCGATCGGGGGGCTCGGGCTAGCTCCGGGGCAGGGCAGGGGAAGTGGGCCGGGACTCCAAGGCCCAGCCAGGTCGGAAAGGCACGAGCCCTGCCGGCGACCGATCGCCCCGGGCCCGGCCCGGCCCCTGTCCGCCGAGCGCCCGCGCGCCGGGTTTACCTATCCCTCGGGGTCTCCGGAGGCTCGTCCCCGCGGCACCGCCGCCCGGACCCTCTTCCTCCTCCTTCCTCCCCCAGCCCGCCCCGCCCCGGGTTAACCCGGGCCACCCGCCCCCGCTCCTCCCTCCGGCCACCCAGCCCTACTGACCGGCCTCTCCCCACCACACAGCGGCCGTAGCCCCTCCTCACACAGCGCCACGCTTCCATCTTGCCCTCTGCGGGCGTCCAATTCCCAGGCCCGGGGCTCAACTTCAACCTCTACACCCGATCTGGCGGCCGAAAGCACCAGGGGCACCCCATCACTAGACGTCGGGACTCTGGGCCCGGCTGCAAGGCATGCTGGGAGGCTCCGGCTCGCCGGCCGCCAAGTCCCCATCTTGCGCCGCGAAAGTCTCGGAATTGCTTCAACCCCGAATTGCGTCCAAGGAGCATGCGCACAGTGTGGGGAAGCCTGCGCAGCCATTTCGGAATAGGGCAAACAACCGACCTCTGTCTTAAAGAAACAAGAACTGAACTAAGGGCTGAACAGCTTTGTAAAGGTTTACGGGAGGGTACGGGGTGGTTGCGTGAGAGCTAAGAAGAAAAAAATATGTTTTATTGTATTTTTATGATATCCTTGGGAGATTCAAAAGGCGGATTCCCGAGGTGGGGAAGTACTCTTGTCTGTGTTCCCGTAGAACTGTGCTACCAGGGATTTTTGCAGTTAATTTTGTGGGAACACAGCCGCAGGGGTCACTTTTAAGTGTATGTGTGTGTCCTGTGTGTCTTCTCAAATTTAGTATAGGACTCTAGATTACTGGAAAGCATTATTTAAGCGGAGACCCTTCCGAGAGGGACAGAGACAGAGAGAGAAACTGAGGAAGACGGAAGAATAAACTGGGGAAATGGGGAAAGGGTACTGGAAGGCAGAATCACTGCTTTTGTAGGCTCCTTGGGAGAGCAGCGGAGTCATTTATCGGGAAGGCTTTTTTTTGTTCTCATATCTTAATGAGGAAATCAGATGCATTTGAAAAACATTTTCCCTCAGTATAAATAGAGTTGATTGCTGTCATTTGTGGTAGTTATGTTCTCTAAAGTTACTGCCAACTGAATTAGCAAATACTGAACCGTTGCCTCTAGTGGAAATATAGAGGTTCCCGTGAGACCCTGGTCACATTTTAGTTGCCTAATCAATACATAACATGACATAACATAACATAACATAGCATAGCATAGCACTATAACTCAGGCATGAGTGAAGCTTATCTAACCCATGTATTTTCTCTGCAAGGCACATCACAGACCTCTTGTGCTTAGCAACACTAGACAGCACTTCAGAACTGCACTTGGGGGGCCATTTTAAACAGAATCACCAACAAAAAGCACAAAAACGTGAAAAACATGGTACTAAATAGACTGTGAAGAAGACACTTGTTTATAGTGTGGGAGCTGAAACAAGAAGGCAGGCTTCGTTTCCTTCAACCTCACCTGGGAACATGCAGGTTGGACAACCTCACCACTCTGCATTTGTCCATGAATAATTGCAAAAGCACTTGCGGGGGCACTTGGGTAGCCAGTCCGTTAAGCCACCACTCTTGATTTGGGCTCAGATCACATTCTCAGGGTTGTGAAATCGAACCCCCCGTGGGCCTCCATGCTGAGTGTGGAGCCTGCTTAAGATTCCCTCTCTCGGGCACCTGGGTGGCTCTGTCGTTAAGCGTCTGCCTTCCGCTCAGGTCATGATCCCAGGGTCCTGGGATCGAGCCCCACATCGGGCTCCCTGCTCAGTGGGGAGCCTGCTTCTCCCTCTCCCACTCCCCTTCTTGTGTTCCCTCTCTCGCTGTGTCTCTCCCTGTAAAATAAATAAATAAAATCTAAAAAAAAAATAATAATAAGATTCCCTCTCTCTCTCTCAAAAAAAAAGCACTTGCAAGTATTGATTTTGAAGTTACAGATACATTTTAGTAAGTAGGCAAAAATCACAAATACATAATGCATGAATAGTGCTGGTCAGATGTATTTCTATTTTGTACAGCCCTATTTTCTCGTTGTACTCAAAATTTTGCAGTTTATTAAATGTATTGACTGGTATCTTGTATGACTTAACTCTGTGATAAGGTTGTAAGTATCTTACGAGCAAGGACAATGACCCATTATTTTCAAAATTTACCTCACCTAGTGCTGTGCTAGGTACACAGTAGATTATAGATAAGGTATTTTTTGAATGGATGGTTAACACAGGACCAGAATTAGAGCAGATCTGTGAATGAACAGATACTTCTCCCTCTAGTACATGCTATGACCTCTGGTTTGTGATGTGTAGGAGAAACGTAGCACTTTGAAATAATAAAAAGATTAATGGATGTTAGAATGCTGTAGTTTGGAGGATTGTCTGATCCTAAAAGATATTCACCTTTATCTTGAATGACTGTTTTAGAATTCTGTAGTGATTAATATTAAATTGTCCAGAACTGATGGTAATTCAAATGATTATTATCTATGAACACGTGAGTGAATTCTATTCAATGGGGGGAGAACTCTCCTCTTCTGTAGAAAAGCCAGTTTTACATCCATTTGCAAAGTCAATATTACTGATCTGTAAATTGCTTTTTGGATTCTCCTGGAACAGACTGTAACATCTCTCTGGTTCCTTTATTCAATAAGTTAAATAAAATCATTTTGTATAACTTTACTTTTTTTTTTAGAATTATCCTTTAACAGTTTTGCAATTCACACCAAGATGCCCAATGTATTCATCTGACAGAAACAGATGAACTTAAAAAAAAAAAAAAAGAAACAGATGAACTTATGACCAAAGAGGTGTGCCTCATGGACTGCCAAGTCCAGGTATTTCTTTTCTTGCTTCCATGTGAATCTGAAGCACAACAGAATTTTTTTAGTTAAATTTTTTTTAAGTAGGCTCCATGCCCAGTGCAGAGCCCAAAGCAGGGCTCCAACTCACAACCCTGAGATCAAGACCCGAGCTGAGGGGTGCCTCAGCTGAGGGGCACCTCCGTTGGTTGAGTGTCTGCCTTCGGCTCAGGTCATGATCCTGGGGTCCTGGCATTGAGTTGGGCTCCCTGCTCAGTGGGGAGTCTGCTTCTCCCTCTACCCCCTCCCCCCGCTTGTGATCTCTCTCTCTCTTTCACTCACACTCTCTCAAATAAATAAAATCTTAAAGAAAAAAAAGACCGGAGCTGAGATCAAGGGATGGATGCTCAACGACCGAGTCACCCAGACGCCCCTCAACAGAATTTTTTTAAATCTCTGTTTTCCTAATTTTAATTTTCTTCTCTACCAGTTTTGTGTTTTGGTTTGTACATTGACAATAGATTATGTCCCTCTAGTGGCAGCAGCAATCAGCAATTTGGTAATATGGTCTGACCATTGGTGATCTCTGTAATAGGATTAATGATTTCTAGAGATCTGTTTTCTATTGAATGAGAGATAGCAGAAAGTCTGGTTTAATAGTCTTGTCTGTCTATTTTGAGCCCAAGAATTCTGTGCCCACTGGGAAAAACGGGTCTTTGGTATCTGGACTAGTGAGTTTTTGTGCTTCTGTGTTGACTCTTGACCCATGGCTGAAATTGTAGAATCAAAGCCATAAACTTGCCATATGTCTGTGTGTCTATGTGTCTGTTATTCATGGAGGCTTTATCTTTTATTATATGACTATGAGATGTCCTACATATGGAAGATATTAATAAATTAAAGTTTATTTTATTAAAGGAGCTGTTTTCTGATTGGCTTATAGTGATAAATTAGCACTTCTAAATTTTTTTTTATTTGACAGAGAGAGACACAGCGAGAGAGGGAACACAAGCAAGGGGAGTGGGAGAGGGAGAAGCAGGCTTCCCGCTGAGCAGGGAGCCCGATGTGGGACTCGATCCCAGGACTCTGGGATCATGACCCAAGCCGAAGGCAGACGCTTAACGACTGAGCCACCCAGGCGCCCCGCACTTCTAAAATTTTTTTAAAAGACTTTATTTTTAAGTAATCTTCTACACCCAATGTGGGACTCAAACCCACAACCCCAAGATCAAGAGTTGCATGCTCCACCAACTGAACCAGCCAGGTGCCCCAGCACTTCTATAAATTTAATTCCTAAAATTACCTGGAAAAAAAAAGAATTAGAAATACTTTAATTGTGATGTACTTAAAATAATATATTATTCTTATAGAAACCAATCAGAAATGTTTTAAGAATCAAAGTTTATATAATTAAGGTCAGTCTCTAGGGAGCAGGTGATTCCTTTCTTGAAATAGTCTAATGCTAACAAGATACGGGTAGACACTGTTGGATGTTTCAAAATATCGTCTCATCATAATTGCTCAGATAGCCAGGGATTGAGGCAGTGAAGAAGGATAGTCAAGAAAACCTCAGGGTCCAAGGTCTCTACTAAAGGGAAACCAAGTTTTTTGGACAAGCATACAGATATTCATCTGCTACTCAGGGGACTGCTTAAGAGCTCAAGATCTTGAATTGAGTGGGCTGGGATGTGAATAGCAAATATGGCAAAAAGTGTGAGTTAATAAACCTCATCCAGAGGGACTGGTGTTTCAAAGAAAGTGGGAGTGCTTGAAATCCCACATTTCTGTGATATGGGAACTTTCAAGAATTCTGTGTAGGAAAGGGCACAACTCTTTAATATCCAGACTGGTGAGTTTTTGTGTTTCTGTGCTTACTCTTGATCCATGAACATTGTTCTTCCTGCCCAAAACTAAAGTGGGTAAGACTGCCTCTCTCTTTCACTGAAACTGCCAAGGCTGAATTTGGAGCAGAGAGGAGAATGGAGAGATGCAATGGCATGAAGTCAGAGAGTGTCTCTCCTCCTGAGGAGTAAGTCACAAGTGGAGTCACTTTTCAGAGTGCAACAGAGGTACAATGAAGTTCCTGCAGTAATTAAGGACTGTGCAACTAGAAATAGAGAAGGCTAGAGCTATAGAAATGTGGCAGAAGAGAAAATAATACTGAAAATACACATTTTGAACAACAGCAGAGAGACTTAGAATTATTTGAAAATTGTTTTCAAATCCTTGGGCAGGGAAGTGACCATTTCAGTGTCTGTTCTGGGACATCCAGATTCGATCAGCCAACAAGGCAGAGCCAGAAGACAGAAGAAAAGTCTAGAACAGACTGAAACAGAAACATTTCACTTTGACACATCTAGAGAAGGCCTTCAACTAGTTTCCAGAGGACAGGAGGAATCAACATTCCCATGGGGATTACGGAGGTCACTTGAAATAATGAGCACTGGGTGTTGTATGCAACTGATGAACCACTGAATTCCACCTCTGAAACTAATAATACAGTATATGTTAATTAAATTGAATTTAAATAAATTTTTTTAAAAAAAAAGATCTACTTTGTATATATGGAATTGTTTTTGTTTATTCTGACTGGTAGTCTG